ATGGGGTTATATGTGCAGATACCAGGTTGTAATTGTGATTTATTGAGGGGCTAAATTATAAAAGTACAACATCTATAAATAAGGGGTTATGGTCCCTAACCTAGGGTTACATTCTCTAATTCTCTACACCCCCATCTAGTAAGAGAAATTCGGATTTAGAGAAACCCTAAGGTTAGAATATCATCAAAAACCCAAATCAAGATTTCTTCTATGGATTCAGGTATATGCTTCCGCACTTTTAGATTCTTGTTAATCTCTTTGAATTAATCATGGCTATATGGTTTTAGATCTCAAGTTTTGGTTTAGATCTAACATAAAATACCACATTTCACAGTTCACAAGTTGGAGAATTTTTCTAAGCAACTAAACAAACTACATATCCAGTAAAAAAATTGCTTTTTGTTAATGAGCCCAGTGATTTACCCCGATTTAATAAATAAAAAAAACTAGAAAAAATAGCTCCATACCATCGATGGCTTCTCTCTAGGACCTTGATCCGAGCCCAAAAACGCTCTTCCAGAATCGGTTCCCCTCTTCCCCTTCCCTGATTTCTTCGAGCAAAGGAACACCTTTGGCTGCTTCAAGAACGCCTTCTCAGTCTACAAACAAACGAACGAACAATCAACAGCCAATCGAATATCAAAGCTTTGAACAAATCGCAATGAAATTTGTACGAGATTAGGGCTTGGGGTTTTGGGAGAATTTACATGCTCCGTCATTTTTAGGGTTTTTGCTGCGAGAGATTGGAGAGCGGCTCGAGAGAGGAGAACACTACTCTACTTTGATGGGGTTAGTGATACAGATTTGAGTTGGGTATTGAAAGGGAGTATTTTTGGGTTTTTAACATGTAAATATTTAAGTACAAGATATTCTACCTCTAAATAATACAATTTCGGTTTAAAGGTAAATACAAAAGCTGATTGGGTTTAAAGATACAAACAAAAAATGTTGGGTTTAAAGATAAATCAACATAAATTTTTTGGTCTAGAAACAACCCCCCCCCCAAAAAAAAAATCTTTGAAGTGTCTGAGATAATTAGTATTCATAACTTTTTTTTTCAAACTTTTACTTTATATGTTTCTCTTTCACTTTACTTCCATATGTGAAAGTTAATTATACACTGTCATATTTGATCAATTTTTTTTTGATCAATATATAGTATAATAGTTATGTTTTGATGCCGCCCAACAGCCTCCAGCCCACAATCCAAAGGGAAAAAATCTCTAAGAAGAGAAAATGAAAAAAATTCAGGTCAGCAATTGTTTGAGGGCTTTGATGAAGATGGGCTATTTCAAACAGAACTAACGATTTCACTATATATTTACCTTATAAACACTAGCATTATCGCATGTGCATATGTACCTGCAAGAGGCACAATTTTTTTTAGTAAATTCTTTATCTCAAAATATATTAGAGACTCGATTATAATTATAGTGTTGTGATATCTTAGATCTAAGGAAAATACTTCTTTTAGCACTACTAGTATAGTGCACGTGTGTTGCATGTGGACATATTTGTTTTATGTTCTAATACTTTACACAATTCATATTTAATTAACGGAAGAGTTTTATTTTGAATGTAATTATAACAATATTTAAGGACTTATTTATAATTTTCTTTCAATTTAGATCATATACTTCTTTCAATCTTCTTAAGATTTAAGTTTTGAACTATATAGGGGTTTATCTGTAAAAAAATTATAAAGTTTCAGTATTTTTCTATAAATATATGAAATTTCAATGGTCTTTGTGAAAATTATGAAGATCTATGGTTTGTGAAAAAAGATAGGGTTATTTTGTGAACATTGGCAAATCATGGAATATCCAAAAGAAACAATTTTTTTTAATCTTAAAGGACATAGTTCTATTTACTTTATAATTTAAGATAATGAATGACATTTAATAACTACTAGTAGTTTTATGTGCAAATTTAGAATATAGTTTTAACATTAGGGATGTTATAATATACTTTATATATATAAAAAAGTTTACCCAAAAGACAAAAATTCCAAGTTTGTTCTTTATTTTTATGTTAAGTGTGTCATGCTATTCCAGTTTATATTAATTATCTTTGTTTTTGCTAATCCATTATAACAAAATAAAATTCTCACTTTCACCTTCTCTCTTCTATTATCATATAATTAGTAACATGCTCTAAAAATATATCTACTAAGTTCATGGATAATACAATATTTCTCTCAAATCACAATTAAGTACATAGTAATAATTATAGAAATAGAAAAAAAAGTTCATTAAACCCCTTCAAATTATACCTCAAACTTTAGCCTCAATCCGAATTTCTCCACATTTCCTTGTATCAATCGTATCCTCAATCCGCATATAGCCGCCAGTCTAACAATCACATCAGTATAAAGTATAATCCGAATAAAGCTCCCATCAGCACAACTTCAATTGTCTTCACCCCTTTTGTCGTCATCTCTTCTGAAGGGATAATGTTTTCACTGGCGAGCTTGTATCATCCAAATAATATCATAATTGTTTGGATCAAAAGTTGATGTTTTCATTGCCATCGAATCTATTACAATTTTGGTCGTTACAATAAACTCAAATAAATAAGAAAATATCGATCTTTTTATAAGATTTCCTTATACAATGATAATACAAAAAGTATAACTCTTGTCAAACAACGCAACAGACGTTTATCACCCGCTGCTTGCGTGAGATCTTTGCCTGTGCCGGGGACGTTGATATCTATGAACAGCTGCGGATCAGATCCGGTTGACAGATTATGAAATCAAAGCTCCTACTTCACGAAGGAAGTATTCGCTGTAGTGATAATCTCGACCAAGCGAGATTACGGCTCTTCTCAAGATTAAGACTAAGCTTAAATCCGGAGGAATAGGGTATGAGTCTCAGATCTCTCGAACTCCACTCTTTATGCACAGGAACTCGCTAAGATTTGTTAATCTTCGCTATAAATTCGTGGCACCACTCTCCAATTCGGTAGCGTTTCTCTCTCTTGATCTCTTCTCCGTGAAATGAACCCCTAGGTCTGTATTTATAGGCTTTGGTTGGGGGATTTCGGATAAGAATGATGGATTTGGTTATATTTTCAGTCAATAACGGTCTAACCATATTTGTGGATGATATCAAGTCAGTTGGGAACCCCTGGAACAAATAAATCCCGAGAAAACCGCTCAAAACCGTCAAAAACACGTTTGGGGCTCAAAACCGTTTTTGTTTTGTTTTTCAACAAAAAATTTTCTCTTTAAAATTAAAATAATACATAAAAAATTTACACAAGATTTTAATAAAAAAAATAATATTATTAATCACTTGAAGTTTCATAAATTACAAATACAAAAAACTTTAAAAATGATAGATGATAAAAATAACTTCTTTATTAATAATCAGTAAATCCTTTACAAGTATAAATTTATTTTGGAATTAGTCGCATCATAATAGATGAGTACATCCCAACTAGATTAACACCTACTCACCTATATCTTTATCATTTACAACTGTTTCCAAAATAATTCATTACAAATTTTTAGCTAAAAAAATAAAAATTATAATTTGATGAATATTGTTTACTCTTTATATCTATTTGCTAGTCCCAACTCTTCAAATTTATCTTTAATACCAGCTATCCGATCGATGCCTTACGTTCTCTTCTCGTACCTCTACCAATCTTGTAAGCACATCACCGCATGTACATTATACGAATCTAATGATGTCCTGTGGTCGTCGATCAAACGTCCTGCTGTGCTAAAGGCGGATTTCGAAGCTACCGTCGAAACCTGCACTGTTAGTAAGTCACGAACCATGATGGAAAGTATTGTATATGAAACTGTTCCATATACTTTCCACCATTGCAAAAATATCTAAATTATTATTTTGACATTTAACTAAAGAAGCAGTTAAATATTGATCAATTTCAGAAACCTCCAATAATGAGCTTGGAAAATATGGTCGCACGAGCTGCATTATAATTCCAACAACTGAGACTACTAGACGATGAAGATTGAGAGATCATAGATTATCAGATATCACCTTGAGGCGTCTGGCCTTTGTTGTGTTTATCTAAATGACATTTAGGGTGGTTGGTGCCACTCTTATGATGAGCTTGGAAAATATGACCGTACAACACACACTTAGCCTTCTGGGTGAGGATCCTATCGTGTTCATTCTTGGTGACGTCCATCTTCTCGAAAAAATTCCACACATCGGATCTCGGCCTTTTCGGAGCTCTTGGTGTAGAATCGTCGCCACGGGATTCGGGATCAACATCGGTAGAATTGGTAGGAGTAGCTGTAGTAGTAGGACTCATTTCAAGAGTTGGGTTGTGCTCTTCATAATTAGATCCGGAAGCCATTTCAGTGAAGAATTAGAGAGCTAAAGCGATTATTAAAGAGTATAAGAGTGTATAAGAGAAAAGTAGAAGAGTTTTGGATGAGGAAAACAAATGAAAACCCTCTCTATTTATAGAGGCAACCTCTTAGACAAATGACCAAAATACCCTCATTTAACCGTTTTTTGACTATTTTAAGCGGCAAAACGGTCAAAACAGCAAAAATGACCGGGACGGGTTGGGTCGGCCAGGCCAAAACGGTCATAAAAATGACCGTTGTGGTCGGGCTGGGCCGGGCTAGCCCGACCTAGACATATCACCCGGCC